AAAATAATGAGACTAAGGCAAGCAGGTTGAAAGCAAGCAACCACAAGAGAGGCTCTTTTCTGAATCTTTACACGACAATATAGGGGGACAGGAACTGTGCTTCAATAAATGCTAAATTGAAATTAATGCAAGAGACCTATCCAATCAGCAGCCACAGAAGTAGAAATTATTTGTGTTTTTAAAAAGGAAGCAAGGAAGGGAAACACAGTAAGCATATTCTGGGTGAATTAATCCGCCACCAGATTAAGCCACCAGAGATCTAGCAACTGACTATGGAGCGATTTATGAAGCAAGAACAGAAGCCTGTGCTTTAGGTAGTGCTCTGAAAACAAAGGGAAGTTTCTAAACAGTGTGATTCATTAAACAAAAACTCAAGCTGAATTAATGGTACTACTCTCTTATGCTGCTTTGGAAAGAAAACCATTCTACAAGCCAGGGCCTGACAAAATACCACACCTAAAACAATACAGCAAGGGAAAGTACTGAGCAAAAATGCATGAAACAAGATGAAATGTCATTACACATTCTAGGCTGTCAAGTATGACAGCCTGAAACTACAGAATAGTAGGTGCCAGTGGCAGATGAATGTGGGTGACTCACTTAAAAAAAAAAAAAAGTAAATGTCACTTTTTTTTTTCTTTTTGGCAGAAAACACAGTAGTGGTGAACAGGAACCTAGCACGCTGCCATCACCACCTCTTCTTTCTGCTGCAGATGACCGTAATCAGGTGAGCTGAAAATGGCTTTGCTTAGTAATTTTTCCTGTTTGCATTTTGGGGTGGCTTACACTAGGAAAACTAGAATAGCATGTCTCTCCGTATTTGTTGCCTCAGATGAACCCCAAACTATTTGCACTCAAATGCTACCAGATGCTTTTATCAAAATTACCAAGTTTAAATACTAAAATTGGAAATCACTGATCTTTTTCCCTTGTAGCAGAAGTTATCACAAAGATTTCAAGGTAAGAGGCAACACAGTTGTCTGTGGAGAGAAAACTAAAGGATCAGCAAATCTATTACCTGTCATGCTAGAAATTCTGGCTTAGAGTGGGGCTACTATGTGTCAAGTACATATGCTGAAGTAAATAAAAAGGCTTTGCAATAGGCAGGTCCTTGAAGACTTAAGAGTGCTATATATGTGCATCAATTCTACCTTCAAACATCTTCTGCAAATGTCTTAAGGAAGGGATAATATAATGCGATGTGTTAAGTATGGTCTCAAAAGTGGTGTCGGCTTAAAACAAACCAAACCAAACTGGTTTTGTTTTCTCAGGATAATAAAACCAAAACTTGGCCTCCAAAGGCACCCTGGCAGCACACGTCCTCTGTCACAAACACGCTACCCAGTCAGAATACATCCCTGTATCCTCTGAGCAGTCCTGTCAGCCAGTGGAGCGACACGATGCAGATCCTGCAGTCCCCCATGTGGGCAGCAGCCAACGACTGTGCTCCAGCAGCAGG